TACGTACGTACGTATACGTAGTACGTACGTAGTACTTACGTACTACGTACTACTACGTACTACGTTAGTACGTTCGTACGTACTCGTCTACTTCGTCTCTCGTCTCTCTCTCTCTCTCTCTCTCTCTCTCTCTCTCTCTCTCTCTCTCTCTCTCTCTCTCTCTCTCTCTACTATATATATATATATATATATATAGATAAATAAGAAACGCAAGCCAGGAATACATTAACAAAAGCATAAATACTGATGACATTTCAGAAGTAAATGAACTATGAAATAATATCTCAGCAAAGAACATATATGTGTTAACCACTTTGCACCTTAATTTAAAACATACAGGTAAGGCAAATAGCAATTAATTACCTTCTCATTTAGTTGTTCCTGAAGGATTCGATTGTCTGCTGATTTTAACTGCATCAATTATATTCTATTATTAATAAATTGACGTGAAATAAAATATTATAATCCATTGTGTGTCAAAATATGGGCAGCAACACAGATTAACACAAGATTGACATTTTAAAGCATTGCATGAAGATATTAGTGAAAGAGTGCACCAATCACAAGAACTCAATTCCAGCCCATGAGATTAAATGCACATTTTATGAATTTGAAACACATCCTATTAACCCAGATTTGTGAAGAACAAGAAATAAAGTAAATAGAACCATAAGTTTACCTCCAATTCAAAAGCTTTCTCATTACACTGTGTCATCAGCCTCATGACAGTCTGTTTAACAAAACCATCGACAATCAACGTGCATCAGCCATAAGAACAGAAAAATAAAGTGCATGCCAAATCTATAAAAGATGGCATAAAAGGATACAAACAAGAAACAAGAAAAACACCTGCTGCATATCTACTGATGATGCATTGGCCAAAGAAGCTTCCCCACTCTCTCTGATGCGTTTTTCTAGAATCCTCATTTGTTGTTGCTTTTCTTGGATTTCAGTTTCCAACTTCTGAATCTGGGATTTCTAAACGAGCCAAAATATAGCCTCTCAAACTATGGAATAAACCATAAAGCATATATCACACTAAAAATCTTGATCAGGAAAAAGAAGCACGAATGTGAACCAAAAAACCAGACAAATGCACTTAGTGAGGGAAACAGAGTGACACAATGTAAGGCCACATACAAATAATAGAAAAAGGAAACTTTTCCATAGCCCATACTAAGTTAAGTTATTTCCCCAAGAATAGTGGCAAACCTTTTGGAAAAGTAATAGTACCAGCGTACCAGTAGGAAAAGTAATGAGGAAAATACTCTAGAGAACTTTCCTACTTGAATGCCTAAGGTCTAGCTATATTTTAGCATCACTGACACTGATAATGTACCTGAAATGCTTGTCAACACTCACGACATACCGATTGAAACTTCTACAGAGCGTATATATGTGCATATGCATGCACAAGTTTCTATACGAATGTGTGAGAATATACAAGTGCAAGGAGAGAGGGAAAGGGACAGAGAGGGTTATTCCTGTCTTTTGTAGTTGTAGAGATTTAAGAAGTAGAATTGGAAGTTTAGTCTTTTAAAAAAGATGGATATAGATAGAGATTAGCATGGTTGGTTGGTTAGGATATGTTAGACTTGATTTTAAGAGATAAGGGAGAGATAGAGTTTAGTTTTCTATTTTTATTTTATTATTATTCTTGAGATTATTGGTCATTGAGTAAAAATTTTGATCTTATGAAAAGGTCTTTTGTGGACTCCCTTATAAAACCAGAGAGAGTATAATCTCTCAACGCTTTTTATTTTATTTTTTTGTATATTATTTTCTCCCTGCATCAGAAATTGATGTTGGGACTGATGTAGGGAAAATAATAAACCAGAAAATTAAAAATAAAAAATAAAGATTTGAGATATTATACCCTTTCCCTGGGTCTGCAAGGGAATTCCCCCCAATCTTTTCACAAGATCAAACTCTTTACTCAATCATCAATCACTCTCTCTACAAAGAACGGACATGCTCCCTTTAAATAGAAACTTATAAGGACTAATAAAATAAAATAAAAATAAGCAATTAAACTTCAGTTTTCCCTTATCTCATAAAAACAAGTCCAACATATCCTAACCAACCCAACCATACTAATCCTTATCTATATATCCATCTTTTAAAAAAAAAATAACCTAAGCTTCTAATGTACCCTTTAAATCTCTAAAACAAAAAAAGACAAGAAAAACCTTAAGGAAAACTAAAACCCAACCTAAATCTAAAATTATAAAAATAATAAAATTAAAAAACCCACTGCATCGCAAAGACGGAGAGAAGTAACCACATCATAGAGAATATCAAGCAGAAACAAAACAATTTTAGGCATCCAATTATGCATGTCACCCATTTCTTTAGAATAAACAATTGAATATTAGGATAAGTGTTGGGTTTTTGTGGCCATTTAAAGGCCTTATGTGAGCATATAACGAATTTTATTATAGTAGAACAATGAACTCTTGTGGGAGTATGGTCCAGAGGAACCGAAGTTGGCAATATTGATGTCAAGACTCATACAAGGCTTGACGAGTTAGGCCAGTAGAGTACTAAAACCTTAAAGATACCTGGGCAAAGCACACAACCGAGAAGGGTTCGCAGGGTTACCCCTTGATAAGGTCGGAGATGCCCAGGGTAGTTAGCCAAGGGACTTTGTGACCCTTGTGTGTGATTGGTGGGCCTGAAAGGACAAGATCCAAATCCTCATCATGACCAACACACGACATGTACATATGATAGTCGTATCGAGAAGTAAACACCACTCAGGGTGTTGCATGTACGTGTGCGAGAGATAGACACCATGCACCAATTGTGATATGTGTGCATAGATCTGTGTGTCCTAGGCTTGTCCCTAGGGGGAACCTGAAATGCATAGACAAGGATTATGTCCCCTCACCTATTTGTTGACTTTATTAGCCCAATCATAAACCTCTGTGATGGATTGTGGGTGATGGGAACTACTGGGCCAATTTGAGAAACTGAGTGCAGTTCATGGTCTCTAGTAGAAGATAAGAGTGCTTTAGTATTTTCGCATTTTTCTTTACATAGTTGGATCTGAATCCCTTCAAATTAATTTAGAAATAATTAATTTGGTTGTAAATGATTGTTAGATTGATAAAACAAATTTTTAGAATTCTCTAGACATTTTATTCAGAGAGAAAAATAAAATAGTAAATATTTTTTAAAAAATTATTTTATTAATTTTAAAATTATTAATACACATAGGGGCCCATTATAGTCCATGGGCCCCCACCAAGTTAGAGGATGTGGGGAAGTACGTGGGGCGCTCTAGAGGCTCCATGGGTGGCACACCCCATATAGTGCATCTCCTTCCTATTTTGTTGAGGCCTGCAATATGCCATTCAATTGATTGAATTGAAAAAGAAAAGGTTTTGAAATAAAAGATGTTTGACTTTTCAAAGAGGCATGAGTAGAGAATGAATGGAAATAAAAAGAAAGAGAAATATATTTTTCATGTATTACATATTGACAAGATTAGGTTAAGGAAGTTGAAGGATAAGGATCTAGCATTTTCCATGATATCATGATGGCCAATCTATGGATTGTAAGGCTAAGATCTCTCATCCCACAGGTCTCTTTTGATCAATGGTCAAGATCGAATCTCCATGAGGATGTCTAAACCCTAGCAACCCTAACCCTCACTATGAGGTTGCATATTGTCTCATTTGTAGGGTCCCATCTCTACACACCATAACTCACCTCTCTCTCTCCTAAAAGAGCCTCATGCCACCCTCTCTCTCTGATATCTCTCATCTCACTAGCCACTCTCCATATTTAGAAAAATACTGAGAAGAAAAGAGGGCCACGCCCCAACCTTGTGAGCCTAGAGGGGCACGCCCCATACACATAGTTTGAGGCCTCATTCTTGTTTCACTTTGCTCTCACCATTGAAGGGTTTCTAGCCAAGACTTCCTGTACTTGTGAGATCTAAAGAAACAAATTGATCCCGTGTGCCATCGGAGGAGTAGACCCTAGTGGGGTGTATCAAGTCCAACTGGGGTAATCCTTTGGCACTTCAATTTTTGTTACTGCAGTTTGTGTTTCTTGCCCCCAAGTCAATATTATGTAACTTTTGTTATTGAAATAAAAGAGTTGTATTATGTGGCAACAAGTGAGAATCCATTTTGAGTTCCTTCTTTATTTCTTTTGAGTTTAGTTTCTAATATTTGGACCTCTATAAGTATTCTAGCCAGTTGAGAAAAAACAATTTTAAACTACATATACCATGTTAGTTCAACCTGTCCAACTTTCAATAAGGAAATGAAATTCAGCACGTTTCAACATAAATTAGGGAAGAGAATATGTACTTGACTCTGATCGCCATCAGGACCATGCAGAGACTGCTCCTTTAGACGTTTCAGGGTGCTACTGCTGAATGCAACCTCACCAGCAAGCATCTTAACCTGTTCCACAAGTAGATCCATCTCATCGGCCATAGTCATTCCACTCTGCATTCCAAAATACGAACAAATGTAAGTTCACTGTTTACCAGCATTGTGTGATTTATTATTGGATAGATCCACTTGGTATAAAAACGAATACAAAAAAAGATCACAACAAAACATGGATGGTAGTCATGATAAAGCTTCAACCAATGCCACTACAGAATGATTGCTCCACAATAAGACAAACAGTCACAGATAATCCTAATAAACAATAGAAACTTGTAGAAACAAACATAAAAGATTCTTAGACTTTCTCTAGATACTTAGACTTTCTCTAGACTTAGTGATTAAGTGCATGGAAATTACGAAGCATAGCTTCTCAGATAAGAGGTTATGGTGTAACGACCACAACACCAGCATCCAAGTTACAATTCCCACCTTAACCACCCAAAGAAGAAACTTATCAAACATGGTTTTGGGCTCTAAAACCAGACCTTGAGCATAGCAAGTCAAAGTATGAATTCCCAGCTTATCCACCAAAAGAAAAGGAAAGAAATAAACATCGATCAGGGGGTGCAGGGCTAATGACAAGTAGAGCAGGGTGCCCAGTCAAATCAAGAGAAATTATCAGTTCAAATTGAAGAATACCATGAATTCATTGTAGATATCAACTAACTGAATACAGCCAAATATTTCCACCGTCAACATCCATGCCAAAATCAATTTCTATTATGAACCAACAAAAGTAAGTCTAGAAATAATGTATATCATATTCTTGTATGTGTTCAAACATGAACACCATACGATAATATGATATGCATTATTTCTAAGCAATCTAAATCCAATGTAATTAATAATTAATTTCTAACAATCAGAACAAATGAAAGCGGAAGAACCAAAAACGATAGGACATAGTTCCCATATTGCACATTACATATACAACAAGTCATTAACTCAACTACATCAAATGTTAAAAAGCAACAAAAAAAATAAAATAATACATACTGGCGGAGTCCTGCAGCCGTGAACTGTACCACTGAAAAGGTCCCCTGCTTGGCTTGATTCAGTAATTGAACTAATGATAGGGGATTGCTCATCATTCCTCTTGCTGAATGATCTTCTTATAGTGTCACAGGATTGTTCTGATGTGATTGACAAAGCAGATGATGGAGAGTCCTTTTGAGGATTCTCACTTTCAAGTAGAACAGAAGAGGTCTCATGTAATTTATCCAGTTTCTGAAAAACACATATGAAACAGGAGAAAGCTCAAAACTTAATGTCACAAACCACAACGCAGCATATCTATATTACAGTGACTAATGCAAGAAAAGTGACCAAAAACTGCAGTATTTAAAAGGAGCCACTTCAAAAGGACATACAACACCAATGAATTAGATACATGTAAAGTCATCATCATCATAGCCTTTTTCCAACTAATTGGGATGGGCTAGATACATGTAAACTACAAATTAAAATTTTAAAAGAAAAACAGGCTAATAAATATTAGGGCTCTCAAGCTCTAAATACTATAAACAATGAGTCATACCTACATATATTCCAAAATACTGAACCTTTACAGGGCTTATGCAAAAGTACATCAAGGGAAAAATAACTTAAATATATTGTTACAAATAACAAATGACCAAAACCGAACTACATTTCAATGCATAAAGATTAACATATTTACCGTTAACTTTTTGTATGCAACATAGACAGAATTTAACTATCGCTTCTCCGAACCTAAAATATCCATTTAGACTTCTAATTTCAGTTTTATATATATAAAACCATATGCAACAAGATAAGATGATTCCAACATATGCAAGTAAAAATTTTATGACGAATACAGACCAATTTGCCAAAGGTTATGATACATTTTATGATGAATACAGACCAATTTGCCATAGAATAACCATAACCTACACCACATATCAACCTTATGAAGCCATGAGCAATACTAGACTGTACACAGTTGAATGATATAGAAGCATACATCATCCTCGCCAAAAGAATGTCGACGATGATGACCAGATCCATCATTCAAGCTCCCTGGAATGGTGTTCTTTGTTGAAACAAGAATCAGCTTTGTTAACCTCTGAATTCTGCTCATAAGGGCTGCCTTGGCCTCCTCCTCCTCCTCTAATCTTGATTGCATTTTCACTTGACCTTCTTCCAACTGTAGGAAGTAAATAACGATAATGTCATGAAATAATCATTTCTCACTTAGACAAAAGTAATGTGAAGCTCTGGGTTGGTGAGAGAATATTTGAGATTATTTTTTGAAGGTCAAGGTAATTTCAAGGTTCCAATAGGCATGAATAAACAAAATAATCGCATACAAATGAAATAAGATATTAGAAACTCACAAATGAAATCAATGCATACGGTGCTCTAAATTTGAAAAAATCTAAGTGACATTGTAATAACATATGGAGATAACTTAGGAAGATAACCTTTTGCCTCAAGGTCAGGATCTCCTCTTCATTTATGCCGACAAGCATTCCCTTCTTTAATTGATCAAGTTCCTGCTTCAAGTTAGAAATTTCCTTTTGATACTTCTTAATTAATGATTTCTCATCAATTATCTGGAAATTCAAAACAAGCAACATGTCAATTTTATAAGAAAAAAACACAACTCTGTCAAGTAACAAGGTTACAAGCTGACGTACCCGATTTCTTGCAGCACGAATTTCAACCCTCTTCGCCCTACTTGCAAACTTTAGGGTGTTGTGAGTTTCCTCCATGTTACTGGAAGCTGGGGTTACTGTGCAAATAAGCTGAAGAAGATATTGCACCAAAACATTGTCAAATGACTGAAAAAATAAGAGCTATTTCCAAAATCATGACACCATGACCATACCTCAATGTCGAAAAATTAAATATATACACAATGGGAATATCAAAAACAAATCATACAATATACTCCAGCAACAAAAACTTCCAATACAACCTTGTCCATCATGGTGGCCAAGAAAAAAGAAAAAGCAATTGGGAAAGGAAAAAAACTTATGTCTTCCTAATCCAACTCACCGAAACATGGCCATGACCACTCAAAGAGGACTGGAGAAGACGAGTAAGCTTTGAATCACGATAAGGTATGTGAGATGCTTTCCCATCACTCAGCTTTCCTATTACCTGGAAAGCGAGAAACCGAACGAACGTAAAACAGAGTGCATTAGATTGCACATAGATTATGGGATTTAGCATACATGAGTTTAGTTAGTTCAAACTTCAAAACAATAATGAACCTTTCGAAATAGCTGGAACATATTGAAATTTAGATCTTTTTTCTTTTGAAATTCAGATTACTATACAACAATTCAATTCATATGATAATTTATCTATATGAATCCAGGATTTCATAAAATCCTGTGGTGTTGGGATCAGCTTCCATGTTCTGAACTCATAAGGAAAGCAAGCACACCCCTAAACATGAGAAGTTGAACACACAAAGTACATTAATTTACTTCAAAAGTTTAGCTGTGAATGGATAATGCTGCCTAAATTCATATACCAGTGCGAATGCAGCTAAAACACAACTGTCAAGATGCTCTCCAGTAGAACAGGTCACCTACCGTGCCAAGAGTTAACAGACTCTTGTTGATGTAAGAGCCTTCTTTCCTTCTCAATCCCGTCGTCTCAGTCTTTGAGCTCTCAGATCCAGCTAAATCAATCAAATTCTACAAGAAAAAATAAAAAATGACCTGCTGGGAGAATCTCATAACTTAACAAGGAATATGCAACACAGCCAAAGAAAAAAGGAGTCTTACAAGTTGAGATAAGATCACTCCATCATAGTCATCCCCATGGGCACTACTTTCAATCATCTGTAGATATTAAAAAGTAAAATATCTATGCTTATAAACCATGAAGCTTGCTATGAGTAGACAAAAGAAGCTAACTACAAGCACTACAGAAACAGTCCCATAGGTTTAACCAACATGAAAATCCACGAAAAGCTGGAAGTGATACTCCAAAAGCTTGGAATAGGGAATCAGTATAAGAAAATGTCAATTGGATCAGCCACAAAAACATTAACAACAATAAAATGAAGTGTGTTGTTGTATGCAATTTATAGAAGCAACAAATACAATTTATAGAACGAACTGTATTTGTTCAAACCAAAGTTTCAAAAAATGGTCCGCCCAGGACACCTCTGACCACACGCCTAGGGCTTGTCAGGAAAGAAAGTTTTTAGTACATTGAAGCTAAAAAAAACAACAAAAGCAAAGGATATATAAGAATTGATGGGCAGGGGTTCATATTTTTTATGATGATGTTAATACTAATGAGGATGAAGAAGGGGAAGACAATGTAGGCATGGTTGCTACACTGAGCTCACAGAGTAAGAGGGGTTTTGGGTCTAAGAAGCCTCGTATGAAAAGGCCAATTAATCTTTTTTTACAAACAACCCCAAGACAATCATTGAGAAAGGGAAGGGTAAGTGGAAAAAGCAAATGAAAATAGATTTAACAAGGAAAACAGAGGCCAGGTGGTTCAATACATCACTCGCTAGTTTTACCATGCGAACATTTCTTTTAATACCACTCACTTGAATAGCTTTCATACAATATTGGAAGCAATTAGGCAATTTGGTCCAGGGTTGAAACCAACGCCATATGAGCTTGGCAAGCCACTATTGAAGAAAGAAGTTTATGGTAGGATTTAACAAGTGCAATGTGAGGCTCCACCCCGACTCAATGTCCAAGACAAAAGTGCTTATGGAACTTGACTTATATCGTTACTCAATCGGGACACTTAGGACAGACATTGTTGTTAGGCAAAAGACAAAGATATATATCCATGAAAGTTGAAGATGCATTTATCATTTCAATTTAACTTGACTCTACTTTTCTAAATTCTAAATTTACACAGAAATATATGTACTCTACTTATATCTATTGTTAAATGTATTATAGCCTCTTGGTGAGCCAACCATAGATAAATTGTACCCAACTTGCAAAGTATGGCACAACAGATTTTCAACTTGACTTGTACATCGCCGGCTGCATGACATAGTGAATATTTTATTTACCCTCATCTCCTATCAGTTTACGACAATAACTTTATCGATATTTTGTTTAAAATGAAGAATTGTAACAGGGCAATGGTATACTACGAAACAAGTACATACAAAGAAGAGAAATCGACTTGAGCAGAAGAGACTGAATGACTTTATTTTTGTTCAGTACAATCAAAGGCTGAAAAAGCGCCATCTAGAGCGTTATCAAATTGAAGACCCCATACTTGTGAAAGATTTAGATGCAACAAGAAAATGGTTGGTCCAGCCCAATGGTGGAGATGAGCCTATATTCAAGGGAGAGAGCTTGACATGGACCCAAGTGCAAGTGGCGGCTGAATTGGCATCGAGCCCTATGAGAGCTACTAGACCCCAAACGCAGAGAAAGGGGAAGGAAATGGCATAGGCAAAGGGAGAGGGGAAGGGGAAGAAGAATGTACAAACGAAGACGAGGATGATGATCTTGGTAGAAGACGAGGATGCATACTCAAAGGAGATAGGGGAAGACGGTTTTTACATGGAGGAGGATGACAAGGATGATGATGGCTTGGCATCATCATTAGATTGAGATTGACTGCAGGCCGAACGTCACCCTTGTGTTGCTTGTGATGATGAAACTCAACCTCATAACTGAGTTCATCATATTTGTGGGGTGAAGAAGACTTCTTTTTGTAGTTTATGGCCTTTGATTGTTGGATGTAACTTTTTTTCAATGACTTTTGAGTATCTGTTGTAACTTGTGACCGGAGAGATTTAAATGACATCTCAAGTCGAATTTATCTTTTAATGTTGCTTTTGAGTTTTAACTATTTCATTTATAGTCTAAAGTCGTAATATGCATGTTTGATCTGTACTTCTGACATATGAACAACAAATTCTATACAAAACTAACTTATTAAATAAAAAAAAATCAATTCTATATAAAATAAAATGGGAGGAGGTGCGAGGGGCCTAACAAACCACAAGCATCTGCCTTTTCCCAAGGCAGGCTGCCTTTGTGTATGGGCACCCACCTTATTCCCTGGGCAGCCCAAACCCCTGACCACCTAGGCGGCCGCATCCGCGTTTCTGAACCTTGTTCACTAATTTACAAGTTCATAAACAAGTTCAGGTACATGTTCATATGGTCCATGTTATATTAGCCTATAGTAATCCATGCAAAACCTGAACTCCACAACACGTCCTGGAACATAAGTTATTGTCATGAGCCGTCCCACTCATCTTCCAGATATAAATGAAGCCGTCACATCCAAATCACAGAATTATATGCGGACAAAAATCTCTATTTCAAGTTCATGCAGAAAACATATACCGCAAGTCAATAAACAATTATACAGAACCTGTCATTCATCATTCACAAGACCAATATAAGAAGAAATATGAGAACACGATAAGTTTTGCAAGAAATAACCCTTAAACTTTATATGAAGAATAAAATGCATACCAGAGTAAAGATAGTGTGGCTCCGGCTGCTCAACAAGTTAAAGTTGTTCGAGCCAACATGACGATGCTCTGGCATCAGTTCCAACTTGATGAATTAGAAAATTGTCAAAGGAAAATCTATGATATGCTACAGATCAAAGAACTTCATTTAAATAAAACAAGTGCAAAAGAACTCCCATATAAGAGAGGAACCAGTATTTTATGACCAGGAGACCTACAGGATGCTAAAACATCACTTCGAAATTCAAGACAGCACCGCAAACTACTGATATATATGTCAAGTACATGACAAGTATTTATTAGGCAATCAGAAAATTAGCAGACAGCAAATGCATCGATTGAGGCAATCACGAGCTCATTTATGCATGCATATGTTGAGAGAGTTCACAACAAGCATCAATCACAAAAATGGACATCTTAGATTCACAAATGTGTCACGTCATTGACAATGCTCACCAACTCAGGAGTCAGTTTCAACTCCACAAGCTTCAGAGTCAATCCAACCTAGGACTCAGTTCAGTGAACTCAGCAACTTTGAAAGCATAATTTATGGTAAATAAAGAACTTATTAGTATATACTATAATAGGGAGAAATGAAAATATAAACTACAAACTAAAAACTCATTTTTAAGAAATGATACAGGAGTTTTTATAAGAAATAAATTTGAAATTTAAAAATTAATAATATAGTGTGTGGGATATATATATATATATATATATATATATATAGAGAGAGAGAGAGAGAGAGAGAGAGACAAACAGAAAGAGGATGTGGGGGATGGGGACAGGAGAAGGGGCGGTGGGGTGTGTTTCGGGGGTCAGGGGAGGGAAGAATTGAGGATAAGAGAAAAACTATAAAAACGAGGTAAATCCAAATTAGTCTCACATAGAAGGAAGGAGATAGGCAAGGGAACAGACATGATAAAGAGAAGGACTTGTCTTCCCTTCTTCATAAATCTTCATTGATCTTTACTTATATTAAATTAAGACGAGGTTCAAATTACCTCTTTAGTTTAATTTTGGCTGGTTTTTTTGTCCACGCTCATTATTTTCTAAAAATGAATGTTGAGATCTTCTCTTCATGACAAAGACTTAAGCAAGAAAACAAAAGCTCTTCAAAACGTGACTTGTAAAATTACATGAACAATTGTACATAAACTAAGCCCTCATGATTTTGTGTTCTTTTCCTTTCACAGAGCAAACCAGAATTGCTTAAGTCTGACCTGACAGATCCAAGATATCCAACTATAATTATTACAAACACGACACGCTTTATGTATTAGCCATAAGAAAATCATGTCCAAAACCTTTAACCCTGGGCATATGACACTATTGTTGAAAGTTTTTACTTTTTAGAGGGTCATCCATTTTTGAGATTGAAGAGATGCCAAGAGATTGTTCGTAGGCCAAGAGTGCTTCGCGGTCCCCTTTGTGCAGTAGTTGGCCAGGGAGAGTGAGGGCTAAATCCTCAATAAACTAACGCATGGCATGCACACATGACAGCTGCAAAACGAGAAGCAACCTTGCAAACGACTACATGTACATGTGTATCGAGAGAGTCCCCCTTACACTAAAGTGATATATGCATATGATTGCTCTTAAGAGGGGAACTTGTAATCCACATTTCAAGACAATAGTTCTACTATTTATTGTCGGCTTTGACAAGACAATCATGAGCCCCTATATGAGACAGTGGGTCATGGATCTCATTGAGTTGGGTCAGCTGGAGTGCCCTGAAAACGATTTTTCTTGACCCATAAGTACCGATCAAATTCTTGAAATTTTATTTTCAGCTAAAGAAGTGCGCATTTGATTTAAAAAAAAAAAATTCAGAATCTTTAAAATCATTTCAACAATAAAAAGCGCTAAAAGATTATTTTTGCAATCTCCAAAAGTTCCAAGGGCATTATGCGACCCATGGGGGTACAGCCAAGGGGCTAGCCCCACACATTGGGGGCCCCACATGGATGTGGGATTTGGAGCCCATATGGCCTACACATCCTTGCCTAGTAAGGGTGTCCATGTCTTTTCCTTTTAAGTTATGTTGATATTTTAAGAAGGATTTTCTTAGAGAAAATCTTTTGCGAAAGATTTTGTGAGCATATTTTATGGAATAGAAAATATTTTATATTTGGAAAATATTTCTTTCAATCTTTGAATTTGACCAAAGCTATTTTACATTGAATTCCTGCGATATTTTTGTGAGAGAAAAGGAAAATCTAGTGAAAATAGACGACGAGATTTGAATAGTCTTATCCTAGATTGACTAGAAGCTAAAATGCGTCAAAGAATAAGAGGATAAAGTTCCTAGACACCTCTTGAAATCATGATGGCTAGTTCTTGCGATGGATGACTCGTATATATTTTTCTCTAACTTCATAGATTACCTAGGAGTAATATGGCCAAGAGAAATTCTAATTCTAATAGACATTCCTAAACCTTTTGAAATCTGTAAATAAAGGGTACCATCTGACTTCTAATCGCCTCTCTCTCCTCTCTCTCTCTCTCTTCCATGCCTCTCATCTCTCTCTTGTCTCTCAAGGGGATGGCACACCCCACCCTAGAAGCCCTAAGGGGTGGCAGCACCACCTAGGGCTCATAGAGGGGCACAACCAGCCCACTTTGAAAAAGGAAGATGCCACTAAGGTAGAAAGCCTTAAGAGTCTCAAAAGGTGATAGAAAACCCTAGGTCCAGCATATGCTTTCTTAAGCTTAGGTATGAAAAAGGTACTGCCAAGAGCTACCCAAGTCAAAGAATTCAGCAGGGCCAATACGATTAGAGTACGCCAGAGGTCAACTAATCAAGTGCAAGGTGTATCAAGTCCTAAGGGGTGACCCTAGGCAAACCTTCCTGGCTGTTTTTTGTTTATTTTTTAACCAATATTGATTGGTTTAATGCAATTTCCAAGAACATTATTTGTACAAGAATTCATGGTCAAAGTTTGTAGTCAGCCCTTGGATTGAGTCATACTTATTTAGCAGCAAAAAGAAAGATCCTAGGTTGTAAATAGTGCTATTTTTCTTATTTACAGCATTGTTTTGTTGCACTCATAAGTGGAACAAAGTTATATTAATAAAAGACAAGACAAAAATTTTAATTTTATTCTATAGAATTCTACATAGCCACCTTTAAAAAGAACAAGGTTTTGCCCATGAGTGATGTTTATGAGTTGCCGTGCGCTAATTAACCTGCCTCTTAAGATCCTCAATCTCTTCATCTCTGACATCTTGGAGGAGGCCTACAAGAGCTCCCCTTCCACAACCCCTTCTCGTTGCCATAAGTTCACAAAAATCACAAATCCCACACAGACAATCAGCGAAACTCTAGAAAACAAATTAAGTTCTACGCTGAATTTGGCAATCCCGAGGATAAAATCAGCAAAACATTGGCTAAAATCAGCAAATCCAAGTCCAAAATCAGTAAACCCAAGACTTGGTTGCAGTTCTTGGCCTTGCTGTTGAAAAAATCTGAGTTTTAATACGGAACTGATATAGAGAAATTGATGAAGAGCAAAAGTAAGCAACACTTCAAGCCAAACACGCAGCACGTAGAATAAACCTAGGATTTCTTCCTCAAATACCTAGATAGAGTTTTTCTTTCTTGTCTCAGAAACAAACACTGTGAATCAGTCCTCTAGGCATTACGCATCACTTTTATATCCTATTTAATTTTTAAAAGACCAATAAGTTTCCATTCAAATAATAAATCGACCCAAAAGTCCCAAATTAACTTCTAAAACAAATGACCTCCGACTGTTCTAGACAATAAAAGCAATAGAAAAATAAGTAAAAATTAGCCCTTGCTCTTCTTGTTCTTCGTAGTATCCCTCCTAGGATGGACATCCTCCAAGTACACGAGAATAAGGAGGAATATATGCTCCAACAGAAGATACTCGTCACTCAGTCCACTTGAAGGACTTTGTGCATCACATGTCTGAGTTTATCTACTTAGATTTGGCCATAACTGCCCACCAGTACTCTACAACTTGGATCAGATTTGTCCCATTCAGAACTATCTCTAGTTTGAATTTGAGGTGAATTTGACAGCTATCAAACGTGGTCCAACAGTCTAGAGTGCCATTTCAGGCTTTATCCCCAGCTCTCCTCTTTTCTTCTTCTTTTTTTTTTCCTCTTTAACTTTGTCTATGACTTTCTCCATGATTTTTTCCCTTTTTTTTTGGGGGAATCTCTATGTGCAATTTTTCTACAATTATTGATGTGTCAATCCCTTAGATGAGCATCCATAACCAATGAACAGCCTCCGCCTTCTCCTAGCACCAGATCCAACATCCTGGAAACTTCAAATATCCAGATCATTTCAATGGCTATGACTCTCAGGCAACAATGCAACATGACATTGTTCCTCAACCTTCTAATCTGAAAGATTTTAATATGCAGATTAGTTGGCTATTGATGCCATTGTTATAGCCAGGCTTCTAAATTTGATGGAGCATCACATCATACTCAGGTGTTTCTTAGGAATTATATACCATGGAAATTGGCATTCATGTCAGGTGTTAGGTTCCTCATGCCATGAAAAACAGGAAACTCATGACATGGCTATATTATGAAGAGAGCACAAAATTCGGCAAATTTTAACAACATTTCATTTCATGATCAATTGCCAAAAAAAAAAAAATCAATTATCCTTGCTCCTGTACAGGGCGCTTAGCCAAAAACAGAAGCAAGCCAAAGAACAAAGGGAACTCCAATTCCTAGCATGTCAGAATAGGGTCTTTAAGACCAAGAGAACTAAATGCCCAGTCTTGGAACAAACATTTACCAGTAATCACCTCTTTTTTTCCCTTCTTTTAAAAAGAAGAGAAGTTATATAGGTGCATAGACAAAAAAAGGCATGCACATACCACACATGCATGTATACCACAATTTAATTATACATTTAGACATGAATACATGCATACTTTTTCCAAATAAAAAGAACAATGATAAAAGGGGATGCAATGACCTAAATCTTCACAAGATCCTCTCAATAGCATAAGGGACCTCATCAAAAAAAAAACATGAAATACAACATGTATGCACAAAACTCAATTGACAAAAAACAAAGCCTTATGATGAAAACAGCAATAACAGATCTACATAGAAATCATGCAAGAGAAATGGATGCCCCTTCAAGTATAGATACAAGTGCTCATACAACTCTATAAAATCCAATAATACATCCACCAAGAGGCAAATAAACAGCATTCACAACATTAAAATGCAAAACAATGAAAAAGAAATGAAGCACAAGAAAACAGCATCCCACCAACTACCTTCACCAGCAGCAATGAAAGAGAGCGCATGTCCAGGAGATAAGACAACTTCCTCCTTAATACCCTCGACATAAGTGCCCTGAAGAAATTAAGAATAAATACTAAAGAAAAATATATGTAACTTTTATAGACATAACAAGTATCTTGATTTCATGCTCATACAGAAGAAATGACAATTATATTGATTTCACGCCTAAATTTTTTTCTCAAGGGTTACTTGTTGGGTGTGTGTGGCCATTAAAGGCCTCAGTAGTGCTTGTACATGAACTTATTGATATAATGGAACATGAACTCCGTAGGAGTGTGGTCCCGTGTAGACTATACTAAGCAAATGATGTTTGCTGATACCGGACTGTGCTTAACGTGCTAAGTCAGTCTGATTAGGAAAAACCCATGCTACTTGGGCATAGTAAACAAACCAATAAGGTTATGATGGATCATCCCTTAATGAGGTTGGAGCATGCCCGGATGTGTGAGGCGAGGGACTGTGTGACCCTTGTATGTAATGGAGGCTTTTAGAGATGGGGCCAAAACCTCATCCATGTACCATCACACGACATGCACATTGACAGCCGTTTTCGCGAAAGCGAGCTACCTTTCAGGGTGAAGCGCGTGCATGTGTGAGATATAACCCTTATGCACCATCGAACAATGGATTGCATCAGGTCTAGGTGACCATGGTTTCGTCTTTAGGGGAGAATCTGAAATAGGCTGGAACTACGGACCTTTTGCCCATTGGCTAGACTTTGGTGACCCACTAATGATCCCCTGCATGGACTGTGGGTCATAGGCAACGCTAGGTCGGTTTGAGAAAGCATGTGTGGATCGTAGTCCACAGTTGAAGGTGGAGTGACCCAATGTATATTTATTTCGGGACCATATGAATCATTTTCCCATCAAAATATTTAATTATGTTTATTTTAATAATCTATGATTTTTTTAATTACTATTTGAATTTTTCTAAATCTCTGGATATTTTATTTATCAAATTTTGATTTGTAAAAACAGATATATTGATTTTACATTGATTTAATTATTCAAATATGATTTTATTAATTTTTAAAAATTATATTATTTTAAATATTGCATGAAAGGCCCAATAGGCTTTATGGGCCCACCATGACAAATTAGGTGGGGCCCATTGTGTGCCACAAAGGGTGGCATGCCCCACCTAGATGGCTATCTATTTTTGTAGAGCACAAGCTCTTGGCTTGAGGGAAAAGAAAGGTGTGTTTTAGAAAGCTTGTGCCTTAAGGAAATTTTGAATCAATTTTGGTATGTATGAGAAGGCATATGCATAAAATAAAAAAGGATAATATTATAATATATTAATTTTTTATTTGAATTAATTGATGGGAAAATAGCTTAGGAAGTGGGGGATAATGGTTTTAGCACCTTCCATATAATATTGATGGCCCATCTATGGAATTGACGGCTCATATCTCTCACCCCACAAGTCACCCGAGATCAATGATGCATATTTAATCTCGCATGAAGAAGCAAGCTATGAAAACCCCTAAGAAACCCTAAATCTATTGATGCCCTATAAAAAGGGGAGTACCCTACCCAAAATCTCTACACCTAACTTTCCATCTCTCTCTCACAACCTACATAGGGGGCACGCCCCACTCATAGAAAGCTCTTTCTCTCCTCTTGGAAACTCTCTTTCTCTTCCCTTAGTAAGCAGAGGGGGGCACACCCCACTCTCTTCATCTCTTGAGATCTCTCTCTCCCTTATGCAAACTAAGGGGCATGCCCAACTCTCTTCCATCTCTTGGAGTTCTCTCATCTATATCATCTCTCGTCTTATGTTGGGGCTTAGGGTTTAGGGTATGGTAGAAGAGAAGCCAGCGTTTTAAAATGCGGTCGCATCATGCGAGATGCGCTCGCATCATGCGAGATGCGCTCGCATCCGCATCAGAAATAGGCGCATATGCGCTTTTAACAGATGCCGCCGCATATGCGCCGTATCAGACCGCATCATAGCCGCATCCCGCATAGGCCACATCCCACTGCTACAGTGTCTGCCGAATTTTTTTTCTGTTTTGCCCCTCGGGGAGGAGTAAAATGGTCTTGTTGCAAATATTAGGGAAACTGTTTGGGGGGTATTAGGGGCCCTAAACGAAGATTTTCAGCCACTTTTGTGGCTTTTTTTGCATCAAATTGAGGTAAAAAAAATTTAGGCGAAATTTTTTTTTTTCATCGAAATCTTCTATTTGGCGGTTGTTTGATACTTGGATGTTCATTGGATGCCTTTGATTGTTGATTTGGAGATGTTAGGGTGAATTTGTGATAAAAAATAGGGGGTTTCAGAGGTCGTAAAGAAATCGAGCAATATTCCACAAAGTCAGTAAAAAATTTTTCCTTCTTGTACAATATTACTATTATACATATTTTTGGGTTAATGTCTTCTTCCCAATTTTCTAGTAATAAGGATCCGGCTTGGAAATATGCTAAACTAAAAAATCCCAAAGATAGAAATTGTGTGATATGCTTGCTCTGTGGAAATACTTATATGGGTGGATAACTGGATACAAAATCTTTGACAGCTAATAGTTTTGAAGTTAATCATTAAACTAAAATACCTACTATTCTATGGGTGGATAACTAGATAACTGGATACAGAATCTTCGACAGCTAATTGTGTGATATGCTTGCTCTGTGGAAATCCTTTGCGTTTGGGTTTCAGATGTTGCTGTTCTATGTTGTTCCCATTTAAGTTTACTACCTGACGACATTACTCCCGTAATGTTTCTCTTGATAAGGATGATGATGACAGGAGAAACATCACAGGAGTAATGTCATCAAACAATAAACTTAAATGGGAACAACATAGAAGCATCAACATCTAAAACCCATACACAAAGGACAACAGCATGTGGAGGACGAAGACTCGTCTGAAGCATATGTGATATATGTTGCCTAACTTTTTTTCTCAAGGGATGCTTATTTCCCAATGTTACAGATAATACTGGACAAGCAGCTTATGAAGGCTTCTAATGAAGAAGAGTAAATGATACAATAAACAAATATACACAACATAGAAGGTTCTTCATAAACAATATAGAAACAAAACAAGGAAAGCCACTGAACAATCACAAGGACTCCCAGACGACATCAATAAAGTACTAAATTATTAAAAGCAAGGGCCTCAATGCCTTATGATGGTGTAGCATGAAGTTTCATCTTTACTTTGACAGCAGAGGCCCAATCTGTTCACTTAGTTCAGTAAACCATAGAGTGAAAAGGGAAAAATTGATAAAAAATGCCACAAATCACTGAGATGTACTACAACTATTTACCCATCTACCAAAGAGGCTCCCAATTAGCCACAAAAACCACATTTAGGCTTTTTGCTATGACTAGAATGCAGACTTAGCCAAGATGCTATAAACAGCAGAATGCAGACTTAGCCAAGATGCTATAAACAGCAGAATGCAGACTTAACCAATATGCTATAAACAGCCATGGCGGCCACAAAGAAATCCCTTCAAAAAAATAGATCTGTTCCAACTAGCTGATCATTATTACAAGTTTATGGACCTTCCACCAAAAATACATACGGGCCTAAAGTGCATAAAACCTAAATGAGTATGTAAAGCACTGAAATCAAAATGTAGACACACATATTAACCCATCAAGAACACAAAGAAATTACAAGAGTGATAGATTGCAAAATTAGGCAGCCCCAAGAAAACAAATCACAAAACCAAGCAAAATTAAAGAGGCCTACTGGTAAAAAGAGTATTCAAGGAAGAGAAGAGGAAACTTGAAGAAGGAAATATGAAATAACTGCAAAAAAACAGGAAAAACAGCCGATAGATCATCCCCAAAGTTCAAATGTAAAACTGTTATAATAGAACATGATATACATACCTGGGCATCTTCTCTAACCCGCAAGTTTTGTCCTGTAGGATCAAGCAAGTCATTTATAACCTGTACCAAAGGCAGACGTTAAAAATTTACTGTTGAAAATTTCCATGACAAGAACGGAAACATGACAACTATTGGAAATGCCGATGACATGCACTTTAAACATATTCACACACATAAAAAGCCCCATTTCCAGACACCAGAAAGACATTTTTTATTACAACAAAATGAAACAAAAGAAAAACAAAAAAAAAAAAAAAAGCTAAGATATACCAGCAATGCTTAGTAAACAAAAGCAACATGCCAATAAATATCCAAGAATTTCTCCATTAAAAAGTTTACCTCGTTATATATTTCAAGATACGATACACGAAGCAAGAACTCTCTCCCTGGTGTCTGCAAATAAACCAATAAAATAAAGTTTCAGACCATAACGATACACATTATATGATACAAAGCATGATACTAAGAAACGTTTATTAGCAAAGAGCCAAAGACATAAAAGAAAAAATAAATGCATACATCTTGGATGATGCTGAACACATCTTTAATAGCCAGAGGTATTACACCAGGGGAAAATTGATCTCCCTGTGAAGACAAACAAACAAGAAACAATTACAGCCAATAAAAAGTAATTACAAGGCAATGCATTGTTCCCTTTGTACTAGAGACGTATTTGCCAATACATTGATCCCGGTCAACATGCAATTTGAAAATAAATTCCAGCATACAAGAAATACACACTTCAGAGACAAATACAGTCTAAAGAAGTGGAAATTTAAAGGTTCGAAGAAGGCCTGCACACCCAACATGTAAAACATTTGAAAAAATAAACTTTGCAGAAAGTGCGTAAAATCAAAGACAATGCATTCACTTCCCAACATAGAAAAGAAAATCAAAATCCTATAAAAGAACAAAAAAACATATCCTTTTTAAATTATGGACATTTGAAGTGAGTAACTTCTAAATATGTCAGTGTATTAATCTAAAAACTGAAGCACCTTCATCTTGTCCTCCAAGAAACATTTTTCAACAATACAATCTAAGAAATCAAAATACAAGCATCATCTAGGACTAAAGAAATAACACTCAATATAGAGTACAATGGAAGATCTAGGAGAGTGATCAGAGTATCAGGGTTTATAGGTTGTATGACTGTTAAAAAACCAGGACTTACACAGGAACTCACGAAGTGCCCCAAGCAAGTCAGCTCCGAAAGTCCCAAGTGGACTCGCCGAGGCCCCCAAAAAAGCTCAAAAAAATCCCAAAAAAAAAAAAAGAATAATAAAAAAAAATTGGTAAAAATTCTATGCAAGAAAGATCATAAATATTTAAGAAACATTATACACAAAATGAAAAATGATGGGAAGTTGATCCAAACTCTAGAAATGGTGGGTCAAAACATATTTTGACATTCCAAATCCAGCAAGTCCAAAATTTCGAGTGTTCTTTGTGAAATCTAATGGTGGATTTGATAGAAAAAAAACAATATTGTTAGGGACAAATTTTCAGGGTGTATAATATAAGTTTGCAAAACACGAGCAAGAAAACAACTTTAGCTAAACCCTAGTTCAAAAACAATCGTTCAAATCTGAGATTTTCCAACTTTTTTGCTGAATCTGATGTTGGCTTCACTAGAAAATCAAAAAAAAGACACCTAGGGGTGAACTTTTTTAGAGATCCAAGCCCAATCCATGAAGAACAGGGAAGAAAGGAGAGAAAGATCCTCTAGCAACTTGGCAGACTACTACTAACAGTTGGCAGACTACTACTAACAGTATAGGCCCCCTACTCCGTTGGGGCGTGTACTATAACACAATCAGAGTCAGATTCGAGTTTCTACAAGTTATATAATATAAAGTTTTAATATTTTTTATGATAATTTGTGTAGTACTCACAAAGAAAACATTCACTAAATGTTCTAACTAGCTTGGCTTGGAACTGTCCCGTATCCAATCCAGTCCAAGCATAGAAAAGAGAGCTAATCAAACCAACTACTGGCTAATCCAACCATTACAGAAAGAATTGACCGATCCTCGTAAGTTATTTTTGAGCATCAGAATGACTACTTACTTCCTTAGAACCATAGGAGTTTTTGCCATTCCCTTTTCTGTCAAGGATCTTTTCTAAGCCGATGCCGAACAATAACAAACAGGCATACTTGCTAGAATTAAACATTTCCAAATAATCGGAGTTGCTCTAGGCAAGTAAAGTTTGGAACTTACATGCATGGTATGGGTCTTTCCACTACTTGTAACACCATAGGCAAATACTGTCCCTGTAGTGAGAAAAATTGGTTCAACTACAATTACTAGCACAAGATGACTTACCATACGTAAACAAAGATAAAATAGAATGTCATCATCAAACAACAAATTGAGCCATCGTTAGAGAACTATGATTTTTTCAACGGTACAGATAATACATCTATTGCAAAAACAGCCAATAATATTCCTTCAACAACATTCCCAATAATGCATTTTGAACACTTGCGAAGGTCACGGTAGTAGAAACTAGGATCAGGGTTCAAATAAACCCATGCAAACCTGGCAACAATATTTCTAGGAAAATAAAAAAGATCACCAAGATTTCAAGGACTCATATGACATTTTATCATCCAATGAAACAGAAACAAAATTATGAAGCGACACTTTTCAAACAAAAAAAAAAAATATGAAGCGATACAATCCATGCACAGAAAAAAAATTTCGTAAAAAAAATTTAAAAAAAAAAGTATTACTGGGTTGTGTATTATTGTAATTGAAGATCAAGAAATTGCATGCTCTACAGCAGAAAGAAATGAATCAGGATCCATATACACACACACACCCCAAACCAACCAAAAAAAAACAAAACAAAAAACCCCCCCAACCCCACCCAAATCCCCTAAAATTATATTCAAGTATTAAAACATAATATGATCCCAAACAAAGTAACTTTCAAAGAAATTATTACACTTATACATGTATGGAAATTAGTGAATGTATCAATTGTTATCGGCCCCATGCCCACTAAAGAAACCTACATGGGACTCAAGCCCATTAAAGAAACCTATATTTGGTGATAATGCATATAAAATTCTATCATTTTTGGGTAATTTTCCGGCTGTAACAATTACCATATTTAGGTGATTTCATGTTGTAACAGTTACGCATAATGGTTGTAACTCCTACGCATGATGACCTACCAATATTGTAGCATCCTTATGGATTTATGTCTATATATAGGGCACATTGCCCCATAATTTGTATAAAGTGAAAAAGACATCTATATTTAGCTATTTACTTTATCTTGTGCTTGATATTACTTTCTCTCTCTTCCCTTTCAATCTTAACATGGTATCAGAGTTAGGTTTGAACCCTAGGATATTCATTACTTCCAGTTACCCTAGAATCATGATTTTTCTTTCTTCTTGGGCTTGAAGCTGTGGTGTATCAGAGACCTCATATTTCCAGTAAGATCAACTCGCATTCCTTTACCAATAAGTGAGTTTTTATCCCAAATTCTTTACATTTCCAGCAACCTCACTTTTTCAGCAAGATCATCTCACTTTTCTTTCAAGTAAAGAATCCAAGATTTTTTCTTTTTGTAACCCCACACAAAAAATTACAAAAATATTTTCCATGCCTTTCGTGCCCAAACAAATTAGGAAAAGAGGATCTTTGCAAACTTTGAAACTAAAAAACTACTAGTTTGGGGGGGAAAAAAGAGTTAAGGTTTTGATTACGAGAGGAAAAAAAAAGGCCAAACATCCAGCACAATATTTCCTTGGGACGCAATCAATCCGACCACCCACGATTAATTATTAATACAGTTAAGCTAGATTGAACAAACTACCTAGAATTGTCCCAATCTGCCAAGATATTCATAGGAGCCTAGAGAAAATTGGGTTAAATCATCCCACAAATGATCCATCCCATGATGAATGCGAATGTGACAACTTTACGGCAATGGGAAGGCTCCTTCATTCTATACTGCCCAGGATCGGCAGGTGGCTACTATTTCTTAAGAGTGCAAAGTATATATGGGAGGTAGTAGCCAAGATAAATTTGTAACATAATTATAGGACTAGGATTTAGCAATTGCATCACAAAATAACGATTTCTTGCTACAGGAAATGAGTGTAGAAGAGTATTTTGAGATATTAAGGCATAAGTGGGAAGAACCATACCATTATAAGCCTATTAATCCTACCGTTGATGACATTAAAAAATAGGCCAAGCAATGAAGGATCTTTGAGTTCTCGGCAGACCAACATCCTGACTTTGAACTTCAGAAAGTACAGGTTCAAGGAAAGTACAAATTGCCTCTCTTGAATCAGTCTATAATTATGTGAAGGAAGAAGCAAGTAGAAAGGCTAGTGTAAAAGGAAAAAACTCAAGCATCCATCATGAACGATCAGTATTTACAACAAGCTTTAAGTAAGGAAAAGTGGGTACGAAAGGACCAAATTGTGCCCCACTTTCTCCCGTCAAAAAGGATAAACTCAAATGCTCCCATAGTGGAAAGAGAAGACACACCTAGAGAGTACTATTAGGACTTGAATCCACACATGAGACCAAACCAAAAAATACAAGTGCCCATACAATATAACGTGCGGACAAGGAAACCTTAGTCACACAACCCAATGTATTCCATTCAAGAGATCATGCCATCGAAGGTTTGCAGCACTAGTTGACTGCTCTCAAGGCTGCACTCAGCTCTAAGACACCCGTAGAGCATCCAAATACCTATGCAACTGCAAACCATGCCTCAAACTCCACCTCTTCTACATCCCTAACCATTTATTAGGGGCCATAAATTATGTGACTAGTAAGAATGTTGGTTTCATGTCCATTTCTCTTGATGAATCCATGACCAGTGCCTCTAGGAGTGGAACATACAAACTTTCCTCATCCATGCCCTTACCCTCTAGAATACATGTGCCTTTTTTCTCTAATATTCTCTCTGTTAGCAGCCTGACAATAAAATTAAACTACAATGTCACATTCTATCGCTCATATTAAGTTTTCTAGGATATGAAAACGAGGAAGACAATTGATAGTGGTCGTGAAGACAAAGGGTTGTACCTATTCAACACAGGACGCACTACTATTGATCTCAACTCTAATTCTAGGAGTTAAAGTGTCAAAGAATATAGAGAGCAAAAAAGAAAGAAAGATTAAGAGGAGAGGGAGATATGAGAAACGTGAGAGAGGGAAGAGAGTGTTATGAGATCTCCTTTCACCTCACGCACCTCTCAAACTAATATATATTATTAAAAAATATGAAAGGACAAAACCACCCATTACACTTAGGTCCTAAAACTAAATAACAAAGGACTTTTAACACCATCTCCAGCTGAAGCATAAATGTCACCCATGCTCAGCTTGGAACAAATAGTTTGGAACATATTTTGACCAAGGCCTTTGGTGAAGATGTCTGCCAGTTGATCCTTAGATTTCACACAAGGAGTAAACACTTGCTTATTAGCAACTTTCTCTTAGATAAAATGACAGCCTACTTCAATATGCTTATTGGTCCTTCCATGAAATGCTAGTTACTAATTATATATGTGGCAGCTTTATTATCGCAGTGCATCTTTATATGTTTAGCAACAGTAAACCCCATCTCCGACATCAGTGTTTTTAGCCACATCAATTCAGATGTAGTCTGCATCATTACTCTATATTCAACCTCTACATTAGATCTAGCCACAACATTTTATTTCTTGCTTCTCCAAGTTAGCAAGTTTCTAGCAAGAAATGTACAGTAACCTATGGTAGACAGCCTGTCAGATGTTGAACATATTCAATCAGCATCTGAGTAACTTTCAATAGCTAAATGATTATTTGGCTTGTAAATCATACCTTTACCTGGTCTAGATAAACTTAATACTCTATGAATAGCAATGAGGAATCCTCAGAGAATTCATAAATCAACTCACAACACTTACAGCAACAGCAATATCAGGCCTGGTGATGGTCCGATAAATCTGCAAGCCTACCAATCTTTTCCACCTTCCTAGATCCATCAACAATTTTGTATTTGAATCTATAAGCGTATCCACTGGTCTAGCACCCAACATTCTAGTTACATCAACAAATCAATCATGTATTTTCTTTAGACAAACTAATACCATGCTTTGATTTGGCTACTTCAATTCCTAGAAAATGCCGCAATTGACCTAAATCCCTCAACCGAACATATTGTATTAGATGTTGATTCAAATGACTAACCCCTTCTCAATCAATGCCAAAAACAATAATATCATCAACATAGACAACTAAAACAACAATTACAAAGTCCTGTTTCCCATAAACACTGAATGATCTACATGACTGCACCGAAATCCATATGCTATAATTACTTCACTGAACTTTTCAAAGCATGCACATGGAAACTGTTTCCAGCAATAAATGGATTTCTTCAACTTAAACACTTTAACCGACTCCCTCTGAGGAACAAAGCCAGGTGGTTGCTCTATGTACACATCTTCTAGTAAATCACCAACGAGAAAAGCATTATTGACATCAAGCTGCCACAACAGCCATCCCTCGTTGAAAGCCACAAATATAATCACTGGAACTGTGATTTAGTTGAGCAACAGGGGCAAATATTTTACAATAGTCAATGCCAAATTTTTTTGTGTATCCCTTAGCTACCAATTTGGCGTTTAATCTTTCTACAGTGCCATTAGGTTGATATTTTACTGTATAAACCCATTGACACCCTACAGTCCGTTTTCCAACTGGCAACTCGGTGCGTTCCCATGGATCATTGAATAAAGTGCATCCATCTCTTCTTCCATTGCTCTCTTCCACCCAGTATGATAAAGTGCTTCTTGATAGGGCATAAGGAATAGAAATAGATGAAAGAGCGAAAGCAAAACATTGATATGATGGAGACAAATTTGTAAAAATAAAAAAATGTGCAATCGGATGTTGAGTACAAGACCTAATACCTTTACAGATGGCAATATGTACATCATCAACATCAAAAGGAAGTGGATGAAGTGGATCAATAGACAAAGATGATGACTGAGAAGATTCACCATCTAACAAGCAGTCTATCACAAGTTACTATACATTTATTGATGGAAACTTGGTGATATGGAGAACCAAGAAGCAAAATAGTGCAAAGGCTGAATATAGAGCAATGGCACATATTACATGTGAATTAAAGTGTTTGAAAACACTAATGCAGGAGATGGAGTTTACCATTAGCCAATATCTATCCACATACCAAGTGTTACTTAGGATTAAGGCCCAATAAAAATATGGCAACCTTAAATTCTTC